GATTCCTGAAATAATATGCTTCCACTGAAGAGGATGCTCACATTGTATTTCCATCTATTTGCTTTAAAGAGGATGAAGAAACCAGAGAAATTATACTAACCCATTTCCCACCTCATGTCCTTTCCCCAATACGTTTTCTAGAACAAGGCTAAGGTGAATCTTCAGCTATGGTGAATCTTCTTTTTGTGTTGTACTGCCAATGCTCCTGCTAATAGCATCTAAGGCAGATTTTCATGTAGAATTGAACAACTCAGTTTTCCCTGGGGACCATGTGAGCTGTGCCACAGTTGTACAGCTTCCCTGCAGGGTCACCTCCTTACACTCCACTTCTGGGCAGACAGAGCTGGGACTGGGACTCCCTGCACCTTCAGGACACCTGGTTCCCCTGAGCCTCTCCAGAGAGAGAGAGCTGCCCTGAGACCTCACCTCTGCAGCTCCTGAGCAGCCTGCCAGGTGGCTGCGACAACGTCGAGGGCCCTGCTCATGAGCAGAGGTCAGGGTCCAAGGGTTAAAGGACCCAGAGGCACCTGTGTCCCCAGAGGCTCAGGTGACAGGTTGTTAGATTTCATCTTGAGGTGTTATAGTGATCTGGCTCCCTCAGGATTCACACAGCTGGCTTTGGAGGCAGGATGAAAAAATGCTAATTTTTGATGTTCTTACTTTTTAGTATTGGCAAATGGGAGGATATTTTTCTTTGCAACTCAGAGTAAACACATAGACAGAAAACTGAAAACAGTAAGAAATCTGGCAGAAGGCATAATACATGAAGGGTGCCTCCAGTTTTTATGAGTAAACTAGCATTACTAGAGAAAATATTTCCAATAAAATGGTCTATTTTGATGGTTCTGTATTTTGTGAGACAAGAAAAATAATTTTAAATGATTCTTTGTAGGTAATGTAAGCAATCTTCCAGGTCTTACAGTTGTGCTTTTGATTTGACACCTCCTCGTGCTTAATTAAGCTTGTGTATAGGTTTACTAAATGTCTAATGTCCATTTATGAAGAAAGTGACAAGGATGTGATGCAGAGCAGTGTGGAGCTCTCTGTGGGTTTGATATATGGGTAGTGAACAACATCCATACTATATTTAAGGTGTGGAAGAAAGAAAGAGTGAAAGACCCCTCCACAGGGTAATTCAGCTTTCCTGTATTGCATGTGTCTGTTGGGGTGACCTATGGCGATACCTATTTTTCCATCTCAGTACTCCTTATCTTTTGAAAATGTATCAGCCAGAATACCAATAACTCCCCCACCACCTGAAGATTAAATTATGGGTATTAGTAGAGAGAAACAGAACTGAAGTCATACAGGTAGAATTTGATTCATGTTA